GAGTGGTTGAAACACACAAGAAAGCAGTGCTACTACTTTTAGCGGATTGATCAGGCCTGCCTTTCATCGGGATAGTTAGATCCACTGACAACTTCACTGCGACAGCTAACACAGTCAAGGAAGCAACATTGAGAGTAGAATATCTGCAGGGAAACCATAATTTTCTATAGCGGATGGAGATCGCTACATCAGCCAAAAGTGCAAGAGTCCATGGCATTGGTGCTTTAGAGTCAATCATTTAGATGGGGATGCTTGTGTAGTGGAAATGTCCTTTTTATTTCAGTGCAACTTCAGCTTGTATTTTCAACGCGTTGATGTATCCAATAATCAAACCTTGCCACGAGTCATCTCAAGGATTATTTTGGATCATTCAATAAATGAATGAGTAATGCATTACTAGTGTTACACAAGTTTATGTGGCACTAAAAGACATTAAATGAGCGGTACAATTAAATGTGTTACCTTTCATTGAGTAGATCATATAGCATCACCTAGACTCATGTTGTAGCACGTCTAATGTTAGATAGCATTATTCTTAATGAAAGGATTTAGCAAATAATAATATATGTTGTGGCTGGACCTGGTTACCATTCATGTATTAATGCTCACAATATTCACGGGTGGCTGGACCTGGCTACACTCCGATATTGTGGTGAAAGTAGTATAATTGTCAAATCATTCTTCTCCGTAATGTCAAATGCTTGGAGCATTTTACCGGCCATTATTGTCTCACCTTCACCTCACCACCCTCATCTGCTCCCTTTCCTTACTTTTTCAATTGGTGAAAAGACGTAGGCCATTACTTTCTCACCTACAGCACCCCACCACCCCCATTACTCCATTTCATTACTTTTTCAATTAGTCAAAAGACAAAACGAAAATATGTTTTTTTTTTCTTTTTCCTTTTAAAAATGACTCTCTTTGATCTAAAAACTGACCGTTAAAAATTGATTCCCAATTAAATTGAGAGCTACATTTTCACCTGATTTTTGATGATTTGCTTGGACTAATTAAACCCCACACTTATTAAGCATATTGTAAATCTAATTGAGAACTGGGGAGCTCAAAAGTAGTTAGATCCATTGACAACTTCACCGAGACATCTAACACAGTCAAGGAAGCAACATTGAGAGAAGAATGTTTGCCGGGGAACCATAATTTTCTATAGCAGATGGAGATCGCTACGTCAGCCAAAAGTGAGAGAGTCCATATCAGAGATGCTACAGCAGCATATAGGCCTATCCATGGCATTGGTGCATTAGAATCCATCATTTTGCTCAATTGTGCAGCTACAACGTTTCAATTATCGTGGGTGACAAGTCGGGGATAATTGTTGTATTTAGGACTTTCAATTCCGTGTTACGTGTTGTATAAGTATTTCCATTTCTCGTGGGTCTTGGGGTGCAGGGAACCCCCACCAATACCTCACAATAAGGGGGGTGGGGTTGGCAATTTTTTATTATGCATGGGGCCGAGGATATGTAAGGGTTTTGCGTACATATATATCTTATTCCATTTCCATTTGAATGGGGTCCGTTCAAGAAATTGTAATCATTAAGCTATGAGGAAGTAATTCTCCAAAAATGGGCTACGTCAAGATTGTCAGGTTGAGTCACAATCAAGAACAACAGGAATGATCAATTATAGACATATACATTCATACGAGTAGAAAATACTTATAGTTCACACCATGAGCAATCAACATTCCTCCTGTCCTATTTCGCCTCCCATATTCCCACCCTAATCTTCCTTTTGCTCTCGATTAGATACTTATAGCTTGGTAGAATCCCGATTAAAGAAAAACAGAGACGAGTTAATCAATAAATGCCTCTGTAAAATCTGATACACAATAGAAACAATATCACTGAGCCTATTTTTTCTGGACGAGGAAAAGAACGAAATCATTGCATTGACGGATGACAATTGAGATAATTAGATTGCATTAATGTAACAATGACTGGTAATTCACATTTTTTAGCTTTGTCGGACCCATTGGATCCATATCTAATTCTAGATGTTCTTGTACATATATTCATTATATAGAGAGATCGATATGGTTTCAATATAATAACATTTCTAATCATTATTTGGTCGTTATTCAAAGAATTTTTTGAAGTGTTTATTAAGACAATTTATGTGCTATTTACTTGGACAATTTGTGAGTTACCATCGCTATGTTTATGTTGGTAATCCATTTGTTATTTTTGAAATATAAATAAATAAACGATATATAATATTTATGGGTGGTATTTCTTTAATAGAATTTCAAATAAGAAAATAAAATTTATAAAAAAAAAAATCATGGGCAAATATTTTAGTAGGTGATTCATTGGTAATGTTTGACGTACCCCATTATAAAAAATAATTTGTTGCTGATAACTAGGACAAAAATGCATCGATAATTTCAATGACTGTGTATATGAAGTTAAATTCATCGGCAATCACTGACAATTATGTGTCGACAAAAAAAATTACCGACGGAACTTTTACAAATATTTTGGTAGGTGATATATTGGTAATGTTTGACGTGCCCCATTATAAAAAATAAATTGTTGCTGATAACTAAGACAAAAATGCGTCGATATTTTCAATGAACGTGTATATGAAG